TCTGTAAAGCAAAGGACACTGTCACTAAGACACAAAGGCAACCTACTGACTGGGAGAAGATCTTCACCAACCCCGCAACAGACAAAGGTCTGATCTCCAAAATATATAGAGAACTCAAGAAACTAGACTTTAAAATGCTAATTAACCCAATTAAAAAATGGGGCACTGAACTGAACAGAGAATTCTCAACAGAAGAAGTTCAAATGGCCAAAAGACACTTAAGCTCGTGCTCAACTTCCTTAGCAATCAGGGAAATGCAAATCAAAACAACTTTGAGATATCATCTTACACCTGTCAGAATGGCTAAACTCAAAAACACCAAGGATAACCTTTGCTGGAGAGGCTGTGGAAGAACGGGTACCCTCATCCATTGCTGGTGGGAATGCAATCTTGTGCAACCACTGTGGAAGTCAGTGTTTCGGTTTCTCAGGAAATTCGGGATCAACTTACCCCTGGACCCAGCAATACCACTCTTGGGAATATACCCAAGAGATGCTCTATCAAATGACAAAAGCATTTGTTCAACTATGTTCATAGCAGTATTATTTGTAATAGCCAGAACCTGGAAACAACCTAGATGCCCTTCAATGGAAGAATGGATGAAGAAAGTATGGAATATATACACACTAGAGTACTACGCTGCGGTAAAAAACAATGACTTCTCGAATTTTGCATGCAAATGGATGGAAATAGAAAACACTATCCTGAGTGAGGTGTCCCAGACCCAAAAAGATGAATATGGGATGTACTCACTCATAATTGGTTTCTTTTTTTTTTTTTTTTTTTTTTTTGCACTGCTTTCATTGTGTCCCATAGGTTTGTCATAATTGGTTTCTAGCCATAAATAAGGACCACGGAGTCTACAATAGGTGAACCTAAAGAACCTAAGGAAGAAGGTGAACCGAAGGAAAAACATATAGTTGTCCTCTTCGCTAAGGGAAGTAGACCAAATTTCCGGGGAGAAAATGGGATCTTGGGGGGGGGATGGGGGTAAGGGGAGATGGGGAGAGAAAAGGTAGAAGGGAAGGAGGGGGGACCTGGGAAACGGGAGAATTGGGATAAAGGAAAGGTGGATAGGGGAGCACGGAACCACAATTCTTAGTTTAGGGAGCCACTTTAGGGTGGGCAAGCGACTTGACCCTAGAGGGGCTCCCTAGTCCCCAAGATGAGGTTCCCAGATAGTTCCTTGGGCAGCTGAGGATTGGGAACCTGAAATGACCCTATCCTAGAGCAATACTGACGAATATCTTGCATATCATCATAGAATCTTCATCTGGTGATGGATAGAGATCGAGACAGAGACCCACACAGGAGCACTGGACCGAGCTCCCAATGTCCCAAGGAGGAGCAGAAGGAGGGAGAACATGAGCAAAGAATTCGGGACCACGAGGCGTGCATCCACCCACTGAGACAGAGGAGCTGATCTATTGGGAGCTCACCAAGGCCAGCTGGACTGTGACCGAAAAAGCATGAGATAAAACCAGACTCTCTGAACATGGCGAACAATGAGGGCTGATGAGACACCAAGGACAATGGCAGGGGGTTTTGATCCTACTTAATGTGCTGGCTTTGTGGGAGCCTAGCCAGTTTGGATGTTCACCTTCCTAGATAAGGACGGAGAGGACCTAGGACTTAACACAGGGCAGGGAACCCGGACTGCTCTGTGGACTGGAGAGGGGGGGGGGGAGAGGAGTGGGGGGAGGGGGAGAAGGGTGGGAGGAGGGGGAGAAGGGTGGGAGGAGGGGGAGAAGGGTGGGAGGAGGGGGAGAAGGGTGGGAGGAGGGGAAGGGAAATGGGAGGCTGGGAGGAGGTGGAAACTTGTTTTTTGTTTATGTATTTTTTTCGCAATAAAAAAAGAAAAAGAAAAGAAAAGGCACCGATAAGCATGTTATCGATATATGTTAAAGCTGATAAGGCATTGTCATACTTACTCAGTCTTGTTTATTGTACTCCAGTTTGGTAGCACCCCTGTGTGTCCCCACTGTTCACAGTGTTAGAAAAATAACAGCAAAAAATAAAAAAAAGATCTCTGCTTTCAAAAAATAAATAAATAAATCTTTAAAAAAAAACTGAAGTAGAACACTGCTTACCAGTTCAAAAACCAGCCTGGGCTAGGGGAGAACTTGTCTTGATAAAAATCTAGAGCAGTGGTACATGCCTATAATCCCCACACTCTTTAGGTAGGGGGAGAAAGACCTCTTAGCTAAAGGCCAGCCGGGTCTACACAGTGAGTTCATTGAATAACAAGGATTATCTAGAGACATTTTACTTTAAAACAAAACTGAATGGATGGATAATTTCAAACAAATACTAAACTTCAATTACATTTCTCTTCTGTTATTAGCAACTACAATGAACTTTTAAGTACAAAGAGGATTAGGCAAATGACTATAAAAACTGAAGATGATAGGAGCTACAGTGATGAAAACAGTGTGGTCCTGGCATAAAAACAGAGAAGTCGACCAATGGAATCGGATAGAAGACCTGAATTTTAACTCACAAACCTATGAACACCTCATTTTTGATAAAGGAGCCAAAAGTATACAATGGAAGAAAGAAAGCATCTTTAACAAATGGTGCTGGCATAACTGGATGTCAACCTGTAGAAGAATGAAAATAGACCCATATCTATCACCATGCACAAAACTCAAGTCCAAATGGATTAAAGACCTCACTATCAGTCAGAACATATTGAACCTGATAGAAGAAAAAGTGGGAAGTACCCTACAGGAGATGGGCACAGGAGATCGCTTCCTATGTGTAACCCCAACAGCACAGACTTTAAGGGCAACATTGAATAAATGGGACCTACTAAAACTGAGAAGCTTCTGTAAAGCAAAGGACACTGTCACCAAGACAAAAAGGCAACCTACTGACTGGGAGAAGATCTTCACCAACCCCGCAACAGACAAAGGTCTGATCTCCAAAATATATAGAGAACTCAAGAAACTAGACTTTAAAATGCTAATTAACCCAATTAAAAAATGGGGCACTGAACTGAACAGAGAATTCTCAGCAGAGGAAGTTCAAATGGCCAAAAGACACTTGAGGTCATGCTCAACCTCCTTAGCGATCAGGGAAATGCAAATCAAAACAACTTTGAGATATCACCTTACACCTGTCAGAATGGCTAAAATAAAAAACTCCAATGATAGCCTTTGCTGGAGAGGCTGTGGAGGAAGGGGTACCCTCATCCATTGCTGGTGGGAATGCAATCTTGTGCAACCACTTTGGAAATCGGTGTTTCGGTTTCTCAGGAAATTCGGGATCAACCTACCCCTGGATCCAGCAATACCACTCCTGGGAATATACCCAAGAGATGCCCTATCATATGACAAAAGCATTTGTTCAACTATGTTCATAGCAGTATTATTTGTAATAGCCAGAACCTGGAAACAACCTAGATGCCCTTCAAAGGAAGAATGGATGAAGAAAGTATGGAATATATACACACTAGAGTACTACGCTGCGGTAAAAAACAATGACTTCTCAAATTTTGCATGCAAATGGATGGAAATAGAAAACACTATCCTGAGTGAGGTAACCCAGACCCAAAAAGATGAACATGGGATGTACTCACTCATAATTGGTTTCTAGCCATAAACAAGGGTCACGGAGTCTACAATTGGTGATCCCAAAGAAGCTAAGTAAGAAGGTGAACCCAAGGAAAAACATATAGTTGTCCTCTTGGCTATGGGAAGTAGACAAAATGGCCGGGGAGAAAATTAGGATCTTGGGGGTGGGGTGGGATGGGGGTAAGGGGAGATGGGGAGAGTAAAGGGAGAAGGGGAGAATGGGGGGAACTTGGGGAAAAAGGAGGATTGGGATAAAGGAAGGTTGGATAGGGGAGCACGGAAGCACAATTCTTAGTTAAGGGAGCCACCTTAGAGTTGGCAAGAGACTTGAACCTAGAGTGGCTCCCAGATGCCCAAGCCAAGGTACCCAGTTAGTTCCTTGGGCAGCTGAGGATAGGGAACCTGAAATGACCCTATCCTATAGCAATACTGACGAATATCTTGCATATCATCATAGAACCTTCATCTGGTGATGGATGGAGATAGAGACAGAGACCCACACTGGAGCACTGGACTGAGCTCCCAAGGTCCAAATGAGGAGCAGAAGGAGGGAGAACATGAGCAAAGAAGTCGGGACCACGAGGGGTGCACCCACCCACTGAGACAGTAGAGCTGATCTATTGGGAGCTCACCAAGGCCAGCTGGACTGTGACTGAAAAAGCATGGGATAAAACTGGACTCTCTGAGCATGGCGAACAATGAGGTCTGATGAGAAGCCAAGGACAATGGCTCGGGGTTTTGAACCTACATAATGTGCTGGCTTTGTGGGAGCCTAGCCAGTTTGGATGTTCACCTTCCTAGAAATGGATGGAGAGGAGAGGACCTAGGACTTACCACAGGGCAGGGAACCCTGACTGTTCTTTGGACTGGAGAGGGATGGGGAGAGGAGTGGGGGGAGGGGGAGAAGGGTGGGAGGAGAGGGAGGGAAAGGGGAGGCTGGGAGGAGGTAGAAACTTGTTTTTTTTCTCCTTTTCTCAATAAAAAAATGGAAAAAAAAGTGTTTCACTCTATGCATCATCAGTTTACACATTTACACTTTTCCTTCCAAAATTAAAATTATACAGCAGATACTAGCAAACATATCCAATAAGGACTTCTACAAATTAAGTAGCTACTCCATACAAAAATAAATAAATGACAACTAGAGAGGTGACTTAGCAATTAAGAACGCTTACTATTCTTGCAGAGGACCAAGATTCGGTTCCCAGCACCCTCACCAAGCGGCTCACAACCACCTACAATGCCAGTTCTAGGGAATCTGAAATTGTAACACAGAGGAATCCAGGCCTCTGCAGACACCTGCACACATATCGCAGACATAAACTCATGCAACCTCACACATCATAGAAATAACTAAAAATATAAGAAAATACTTATAATAAATGAATAGAAATAAAAAAGGGACTGCATACAGCAAAGGTTTACCTGTGCTTTGGTTCATAAAAACTCGTGGCGAAGAACACGTTTCCTCAGATTCTTCTGACGAATGTGCTAGGAAGTCATGAAGCTTCTGCACCAATGTATTCAACTTGCTTTCACTATCAAAACAAAAATTTTAACAATGCCCTTATAATAAACATAAATCTTTAACAAACAGTGAAGTTTATCCTATAGTCTTATGAGAAGATACATACTCAAAGTCAAAATTAAGGCAATTTTGCTGAAGATATAAAAATATAATTAACAGCCAGGCGTTGGTGGCATGTGCCTTTAATCCCAGCACTCAGGAGGCAGAGGCAGGTAGATCTCTCTGAGTTCCAGGCCAGCCTGGTCTACAGAGTGAGTTCCAGGACGGCCAGAGCTACACAGAGAAAACCTGACTCAAACAAATGAGAGAAATAAACTGATAAGGAATTCAAAGCTTAAACATGTAATCCTTTCTTTTAAAAAATACAGATCTTTCAAGACTGGAAAGATGACTCAGCAATGAAAATCACTTGTGCAATCATGAGGACCAGAATCTATATCCCAGCATCCACGTTAACAAGCAACTGTCGCCCAAAGGAAGCCAGAAACAGAAAAATCCATGGGGTTTGCTAGCATCTAGTCTAGAAAACACAAGTTCCAGGTTCAGAGAAATCCTGACTCAACAGAATAGAAAAGGATAGCAATAACCTTTTCTAGCCAGTGTACACACAGACATGAGCACCAGACAAATAAATATACAATCACAACACACAAATAGTTTTAAATGAAGATTTTATAAGCTTAAAAGCAAGACAGGAAATAAATATTGACTACATCAAACTTCAAAACAATTGTGTCAAAGGATACCATCAAGAAAATGGAAAGAGGGCTGGAGAGATGGCTCAGCGGTTGAGAGCACTGACTATTCTTCCAGAGGTCCTGAGTTCAATTCCCAGCAACCACATGGTGGCTCACAACCATCTACAATGAGATCTGGTGCCCTCTTCTGGGGTGCAGGTATGCACACAGGTAGAACACTGTATACATAATTAATAAATAAATCTTAAAAAAAAAGAAAATGGAAAGACTAAAAGCAGAAATTAGTAAAATGTGAAGAGGCTAAAGAAATGGTACACACTGCTTTTTCAGAGGACAAAGTTCAGCTATCAACACCCACATTAGACAAAAAAAACTGCCTCTAAATCCCACACTCGTGTGCAAAGACAAACATACACGCATACATTAAAAGGGGGCTGGAGGAACAATTCAGTCTTTATCACACTTTTTTTTTTTTTTGTTTTTCGAGACAGGGTTTCTCTGTGGTTTTGGAGCCTGTCCTGGAACTAGCTCTTGTAGACCAGGCTGGTCTCGAACTCACAGAGATCCGCCTGCCTCTCCCTCCCAAGTGCTGGGATTAAAGGCGTGCACCACCACCGCCCGGCAACAATTCAGTCTTTAAGGGCACTGGCTGTTCGTGCAGAATGCCTGGACTCAATTCCCAGCATTCACATCATGACCATCAGTAACTCCAGTTTTAGGAAATCTGATGCCCTCTCCTGGCTTCTGTAGGCACCATGGAAGCATGTGATGCACATACATGCAAATACTCACACATAAAATAAAAACTGTAAATAAGTACCCATCTTAAAAAAGAAATTAATGAAATGGGAGACTAAAAGACAAAGAATCATGAAATAAAGAGTTTGGGTGAAGGGGATTTATTTACTCAAGCTTGCAGAATACTTGCCTAGCACAAATTCCTAGGTTTGATCCCCAGCACCAGATAAACTAGGAATGGTGACATGTGCCTATAATCCCATTCCTCTGATGCTAGAGGCAAGAGTACCAGAAATTTAAGATCATCCTTACCTGCATAGCAGTATGAAGCAAGCCTGGGATACTGAGATCCTGCCTCAAAAAAAATTAATAAAAAAAATAATAAAAAGTTGAGATTGGAACTCAAACTTTGACCTGACTATGGAATGAACTGGGGTAAAGGTGGTGAGAGTGGCCATTCCATAAAAGTGAACCCATGCCTGACAGGTTTGAAGTGCCAAGACCCAATAGCTAAATGACCCAAAGACCTAGGAAAGAATCAAACACAATTGGGGGAAGAAAATATGTCAACATAATGACACCTAACAACATTATGCTATACTCATAGATTGGTGCCTTGTCCAATTGTCATCATAGATGCTTCATTCAGTAACTAATGGAAACAGAGACCAACAACAGCCAAGCACTGAACCAAGTTCAGAGAATCCTGCTAAAGAGAAGGATTATACAAATGGGGAGGGGGGTGTCAAGGGAATCACAGGGAAACCCACAGAAACAACTAACCTGGGCTCAAAGGAACCCACAGAGTCTGGAGCTTGCAAGGAACCAACCTAGGCCCTCTACATTATGTGTGACAGTTGTGTGGCTTGGTCTACTTATGGGACTTCTAGCAGTGGGCTGTCCCTAACACTTTGATTGGCTTTTGGGAGCCTATTCCTCATTCTGGGTTGCCTTGCCCAGCCTTAATAAAAAGGAGGAGCTTATTCCTACTGCAACTTGATATGCCATGGTTTGTTAATTCAAAAAGGCCTATCTCTTTTTGAACAGAAACTGAGGAGAGGATTGGGGGAGGGGAGAGAATAGGAGAGAGGAGGGGAAACTGCAGTCTGGATATAAAATAAATAAATAAATGTAGTTAATTTAAAAAGGAAAAAAAGTTGAGGCTGGAAAAATGGCTTGGTGGTAAAAGAGCATTGGCTTCTCTTCCAGAGGACCCAGGTTCAATCCTCAAGCTCCAAGGGATCCTTCATCTTCTTCCAGCCTCCCCAGACACCAAGCACATATGTGATACACAAACATATATGCAGACAAACTGCAAATATACATAAACACATAAAAAAGGACACCAGAAATGATTCCTTGAAAAGATAAAATCAAAGATAAAAATCAATAAACCCATGGACAAACTAAACAAAATACTGAAATTAGGAAGGAAGTTGAGAGGATGCTTAAGAAATATTTTAGAAATTTACATTCCAAACCGGGCGGTGGTGGCGCACGCCTTTAATCCCAGCACTCGGGAGGCAGAGGCAGGCGGATCTCTGTGAGTTCGAGACCAGCCTGGTCTACAAGAGCTAGTTCCAGGACAGGCTCCAAAGCCACAGAGAAACCCTGTCTCGAAAAAAGCAAAAAAAAAAAAAAAGAAAGAAATTTACATTCCAAGTAGATGGGAAACCTAGAAGTAATGGATAGATTCCTAGACACATACAGCTACCAAAATTAAATCAAGGAAACACAACTTAAATGGCAAGCGAGATTGAAGCAGTGAACAGTCTCAAAAAAGAAAACCTTAGGCATGACCAGAAAGATTTACTGGTAAATACTACCAGACTTCTAAAGTAAAGCTAACATTGATGCTTCTCAAACTATTCCATAAAAGTAGAAAGGCAAGAGGCAAGCAAGATGATTCAATAAATAGGTAAAGAGAGGGACTTGTGGTAAAGGAGAACCCACATGGCTGAAGAGAACCAATTTTCAAAAAGTGTTCTTTAAACTCCATACATACTAAGGTACACCCATGAGGGCACAAAAGGGGGGGAGAGGGCACACACTAGATGAATATTTTTATTTTTTATTATTACTTTAGTATTTTATATGGATGGGTATTTTTTCCTGTACATATGTCTGTGCATATATGTGCCCAGTGGCCACATAGGCCAGAAGAGGACATTGGATCCCCAGGAACTGTAGTTGCATATGGTTGTGAGCTAGCATGTAGGGAAATGGAAGCTAGGCCCTCTACAAGCCATCAGTGCTGGTTACTACCCAAATGTATTTTTAAAACCCCATTCTTGGGCAGAAAGATGGCTCAGAGGATAAAGGTGTTTGCAACCAAGCCTGAGGACCTGAGATCATCCCCAGAAGAGAAATGGCCCCTAAAAGTTCTTCTAGCCTCCATCTATGCTCTATGGTGCACACACAGAAATAAGTAAATGAACAAACAGTAAGTATAAAAATAGGTTGAGAGAGGGGCTGGAGAGATGGCTCAGTGGTTAAGAGCACTGCCTGCTCTTCCAAGGGTCCTGAGTTCAATTCCCGGCAACCACATGGTGGCTCACAACCATATGTAAAGAGGTCTGGTTCCCTCTTCTGGCCTGCAGACATGCACACAGACAGAATATTGTATACATAATAAATAAATAAATAAATAAATAAATAAATATTTAAAAAAAAAAAAAAAAAAAAAAAAAAAAAATAGGTTGAGAGGCTAAGAAAACAGCTCATGGTTAAGAGCATCTGCTGTTCTTCAAAAGGATCCCAATTCAGACCAAGCACCCACATTAGGCAGCCTTAGTTAACTCCAGCTCCAGGGTATCTGATACCCTCATCTGGTTTCCTTGGGTACTGACACACAAGTGGCATACATTCACACATACACATAAGGAAATCTATTTTATTTGAAAAACTGGCAAATACTTTTATATAAAGGCATCCAAAGAAAATGCACAAATGGCAATGCAAATCAAAACCACATAAGAAACCATTTGAGGTCAGCCAGTGGTGCACACTTTTAATCTCAGCACTTAGGAGGCAGAACTCTGTGAATTCCAGGACAGCCAGGGCTACATAGAGAAACCTGTCTTGGAAAAGAGACAAAAAAAAAAGAAAGAAAAAAAAAAGAAATCAAACAACAAAAACAAAAAAAAAAGCATTGATACTCAATAAAATGGATAAAACTATTTTAAAAAATTCTGGCAACACTACAGAAAATTAGAATCCATATGCATTGCCTGTAAATAGAACTGGGGATGCAGCTCAGTTGGTAATGTGCTCACCTAGCATGTATGAGGCCCTAGTTTGGATCCTGAGTGCCACACAAATTGGGCAAAGTGCCAACCCTGGAGAGGTATAAGCAGAAGGATCAGGAATGCAAGACAACTCAACTTATTTCACCCCATTAAATAAGAAGTTCAACGCCAGCCTGAGCTATGAGACCTCATCTGCAAAAACAAAACATAATACAAAATTGGTACAGGCACTGTGGAAAAAACTGGCCTGTTTTATATATATAAATACACACACACATATATATACAAGGCCCTGGACTTGTTCCCTAGCACTGAAAAAAAAATAA